AAAAAAAAAAAAAAGAATAAATCATTTCTTGCATATTAGTCATAATGTAGCTCCTCCTTGTAGGTAAGGTCTACAAGGATAGAAGTCCATTTTGTCTAAATCAGGGGTCAGCAAACTTGTTCTGAAAAGTACCAGACAGCAAATATTTTTGGGTTTGTGGGTCATCAAGTCTTAGTTGCAACTATTCAAGTTGGTCATTATGACCCCAAAGCAGCAAGACAATAAGTAAATAAATGGGTGTGACTGTTTCAGTAACTCTTTACAAAGACAGGAGGCGGGCAAAAGGGCCACAGTTTGCTGACCCCTGGTCTAGAACCCAGTCTAGCACCTGGCATGTAGTAGGCACTCTGTGAATAAAGAAAACTACCAAAAAAAGGCCACCGATTTTGGCTATTAGATGGAAACTGGTACTAAGTGAAGATGGTTTTGGTGGCATGGTGGGGTGGAACTGAGATGACAGGGGGCTGGGGTGTGAGCAGTAGTTGAGGAAGTGTTAACTTCTCTTTCAGGAGTTCCACTGTCTGAGCAGCATGTTGGGGAACGGTGCTCTTGTAGTGGAGTGGGGAACCTGTGTGCAGGCACAGGGCTGAGGAAGAAACAGGGTAACTGACAGTGAGGTGGGGCTCCAGAGCTCAGGGGTATGTTTGGGGGTTGGTCACAAAGGAGGAAGCCACCTTCTAAAGCTGAGGAAAAACAAACAAACGAAAGAAAAGCAGAAAAAAGAAATGAGGAGAAAGCCTTGCATGTTTTTTTCCTGTGAAAATGTGAGCCAAATCTCCGGGTGCAGAGAGTGGACTAGAGGTAGCTCAGGGGCCACAGGCATCTGACAGATTGGGAGCCACTGGCAAAAAAGGGAACAGTGAACACTTAAGACAGGGCCATGGGCCTCACCAAGATGCATGAAGCTACACCCTTCACTTTTCTCTCATTTGAGAAAGCACTTCTAGCCAAGCTGGTATCTGGGTGTCTTGTGGGTTCTGGGTTTTCAGCTCTGACTCAGTGTGAAGTGTGTCACTTGCGGAATTACCAGCAGTACTTATCACTTCCCAACACTTTCCCATGCAGGTAGCGACAGGCAGGCCCTCAGGAGGATGGGGTCATGTTTTACATGTGGTCACACCTAGCTCTTAAAGGATACTGAAAGCATTTTAATTGCAGAAATTTATTGGTGAATTTCATCCCCATGCTTTCAGATGTGTAGGGCACCCACAGGGTTTAAGAAAGCAGATAGGTTGGGTGTGGTGGCTCATATTATAATTCTAGCACTTTGGGAGGCTGAGGTGGGTGGATCATTTGAGCCCAGGAGTTCCAGACCAGCCTGGGTAAGACGGTTAAACTCCATCTCTACTAAAAATACAAAAAATAGGCCAGGTGTGGCAGTGTGCATCTGTGTCTCAGCTACCTGAGGTGGGTGGATGGCTTGAGCCCAGGAGGTTGAGGCTACCGTGAGCCATGATTGTGCCACTGCACTCCAGCCTGGGTGAAAAAAAAAAAAAAGCAGATTAAAAAATATTGAACACATATGTCCGGCGCGGTGGCTCACACGTGTAATCCCAGCACTTTGAGAGGCTGAGGCAGGCAGATCACCTGAGGTCAGGAGTTCAAGACCAGCCTGGCCAACACGGTGAAACTCCGTCTCTACTAAAATTACAAAATTAGCCAGGCATGGTGGTGGGTGCTTGTAATCCCAGCTACCTGGGAGGCTGAGGCATGAGAATCGCTTGAACCCGGGGGGCGGCGGGGGTTGCAGTGAGCCACTGCACTCCAGCCTGGGCAAGAAGAGCAAGAGTCTGTCTCAAAAAAAACTGAACACATAACCTGACAACAGTAGCTTATAATTTCTCAGGAGACAATCCTATGGCAGTTTCTCTCCTGGGCTGTTCTCTATTAGGCAAAGAATGACCTGTATAGAGCACAAAGGCCAATTTTATCCGAATGATGGATAATACAGAACTTTTTTTAAATGTTGGAAACCATTTGATTGAGGGTTTGACAATAAAACTAGAACACAGCACCTATTTAGTTTTATAATCCTAACATAGTATTAAAGCCTATAAAACACAACTTCTTATGTAGACAAAGGATTAGTACTGTGACATGAAAAGTTTTCTTATAGAGTCAAAAACATAGGAACAATCAACCTCACTTATCATGGAACCAGAGACCCGAAGAAACCTTCCATTTCAATATGAATTTGTTAATTCATTATTACTACCAATACAGGGATGTGTAAGGGTTCAGAGCTCATTCTACCACTTTCAGGAAGGACAAAACCATCTAAATGACTTTTACTTGATATGCCTGGAAGAATAGCACTGGATCTGTTTTCATCTGCCTTATTTCAAGGTGTAATCGTTGTGGGTATAGACTGAAGCTTCTGTGTCTATTCTAATAATTAGTAAAACTCCAATTCATATTTGCATTTTGATGTTTTCACCCCTCACAAGTCTGAAGATAATTTTCCTAAAATACACAGATCCTCACTGGACTCTTTCAAGTCCTTCCGGAAACAATGCAAACCAGCGACTCGGAATTCAATGAATATAAAGCGCAGGGCCTACACCTGTAACCCACTATTTATCTGGAAGGGTTTTCAATGCACCTTTAGATGTGTATCAAATAAAAATCTCTTACCCTATTGTTGGGTTGATGTTTGGATCAAAACTGTCTTCCACAAATCGCCACACAATACTCGATTTACCTACACCTGTATCCTGAAAGAGAACGAGATGAGTGACTGAGAAAAAGTTTACCTTCTTGCAGACACCAAAAACTACTTTGTGGCATAAGTTCAGGATTTAAAAAAAATCACCCTAGATGTGTAATTTTATAAATTGAGGAACACAAAAGCGGTTGTCATAACAATTCAGTGGAGTAATTAGGAGATTCTAAATGTACTAAAAGGGAGAGGTTTTTGCAGTTTTTAAGACAGATTAGGACCTTTTGAAAGACCCAAAGCTTCTGCTTCGTAAAAAGTAACAAGTCTACTTATGTTAGTAAACTTTGAACTCCTGAGTAATTACCTCTGAGTAATCCCTGATGAATCCTAGCCTCACTCTATTTAGGGGCAATAAAGATTAGTTACTGGAGTTCCTGCCGATCTTTAAGGCAGAAACTCTGACATGCCAGCATCAATCTCAGAAAGAAGTCTTTGAAATGGCCAACACCTTGTCCTTCCTGACAAGACAGGAAGCTGAAGCTTCAAACTAGTCGTTGGGGCTTCCTGAGTTGAACACCCCTTTTCTATACAGAAGAGTTACTTGATAAAGTAACTCTTTGGAGAAGCGGCAGAGATATCCTACAAGTTCAAAAACACCCAAGAAACAAAGTAGGTTAATTCCGCTTGTAAAACCTAAAGACCGGCTATTGGTTTTACTTTGGAAGACTTGGCCAACTCCCAACTAATACCTTGGTAAGTTGGAGAAAACTATTTAAGAGCCTCTCTTAACCCACATGCAATGGAGAAGCAATGGGGGGGCTCTGTTTGCTCTTTGGGGGGCGGGAAGAGTCCACAGGCTCCGGGGCGGGGAAGTGGAAGGGTCCCTGAGGCCTCCAGGACCTTTTGGAGGGTGCAAGAGGAGGGCAGGACAGCTTCCGACCTGGAGGGAGGGTCCACCGAGCTGGCAGACAGCATCTCGGACGGAGGCGGGGGAAGGGGTGAGAGGACGTGGGAGATCCGGGGTCCTTGTCCGCCCAGCCTCCCGTGGCCCTCCCGGCTGGACCCGCCGCCACTCACCCCCAGCAGACACACTTTGAGCTCCCTCAGCGCCATGGCCCGGGAGCCAGGGGCGCGGGCCCGCCGCCGCCCTAAGTTGAGGAGGAAGAGGCCAGGCCCAGCAAGAGCATCCCCTGGCGCCACCGCCGCCGCACGGCCCAGGCCCGGTCCGCGCAGAGGCGGCTGCCGCCGGTCCTCCAGCACTAGGTCCGACCTGTCCGCTGCCAGCCGCCTGGGGCCCGCCTTAGCAGCTGGGACGCCGCCGCGGCCTTCCGGGCGCCGCCGCTGCCGCCATCTTGGGACGCCGGCCGGGTCACCTGACCTCCACGCCCACCTCGGCAGCCACCTTTGCCGCGAGGGCGGGGCCGGCCGGCTGGCGCGGGCCGGGGGCGGGGCCTGAAGCCGATGGCCCCGCCCCCGTTCACAGGTCCCCGCTACTGCCGGTCCCTCCTTCAGGCCCATCCCAAGATGGCGGGTGAGTGGGGCTGGGTTCCCGGGACACCCGGGCTGCTCCCCTCCCTCTCACCCCGTGACCACTCCGCGAGGCCGGGGGCCTCCTACCCAGCCCCGACCCGACCCCTCCCGCCGCAGCCCCCTGGTAACTCCTTGTGTGTTTCTTGGTTTTCAGAGATCCCCCTGTACTTTGTGGACTTGCAAGACGACTGTAAGTAAGAGTTGGGACACTCCTACCCCTCCCTGGGACCCTCTCAAAGAATTCAGGGTGCACGAAGCGCAGGGCAGGGGAGCCTCAGGCCAGGCCGTCGTCGGGACCAGAACAGCGGGACCCCCAACCGCCTAGATCCACTTGTGGCCGTCCCTCCGCCCTGTGCGGGGCGGGCTGAGGGTGGGAGCCCTTCCATCGGTGAAAGGATTTTTGTTGTTGGGAAACTTTTGACTTCCTGTCACTTTCTTTTCTTCCTGCGCCTGCGGCTGCCCCGGGATGGGTCGAGGGGGTAGTCCCAAGTCCCAGTCGACTCAGGGAGGACGGGGTGCCTGCCACTTTGGAGGTGGGTGACACCCATCTCAGGGCCTCTCCCTTTTCCTGGGGACTTTTAGGAGTGCGGGGGGGGGGGGAGGTCCCGCTCTGGGTGTGGCATGGACTTCTCAAGTATTCCGGCCACAGCGCAGCTCCATCTCTTATCCCATGGAGCCCATTGGCCCCGCATTTCTTGGGTGGGTCCCTTGTCTCTTCTTGCCCTCTTCTTTGGAATCATGTTAAGGGCTGGTAGCTGGGGGAGGTGTCATCTTGGCAATCCAAGTTCGCATTTGTGGTGAAGGAAGAAAGCGTTTTCTCTCCTTTCAAGAAACATTTCTTGAGCAGCTACTTGCTCTGGGCCAGGCCACAGGTTGGGCTCCGGACCTGCAAGGATGTGTTGGAAACAGCTCTATGCTCAGAGAGCTCACAGGCTGTGGTAAGAGCCTACTTGTAAAGAGAAAATTACCAAGCACTGGAGTGCTTGCTGGTGAAGAAGCCCTGCATAAATCATCCAAATAGCTAACATTAGTTGGGGGCATACTGTATGCCAGTCATATACACTACTTCCTCTCATCTTCCTTCCACATCTGCAGGTTTCCTGATAGTAAGAGTTGGTGTTTACTGAAAACTTACCATAGACCAGGCAGTGTTAAACTCTTTACACACATTAACTCAGAAGGTGCAGTTTCAGCTGGGCATGGTGGCTCACGCCTGTAATCCCAGCATTTTGGGAGGCAGAGGTGGGCAGATCACTTGAGGTCAGGAGTTTGAGACCAGCCTCCAACATGGTGAAACCCCATCTCCACTAAAATTACAAAAATTAGCCGGGTGTGGTGGTGCACACCTGTAATCCTAGCTACTTGGGATGCTGAGGCAAGAGAATCGCTTAAACCTGGGCCTGCCACCGCACTCCAGCCTGGGCAACAGAGCGAGACTCCATCTCAAAAAACAAAACAAAACAAAAACAAAGCAAAAGAAGGGGCAGTTTTGTTAAAGCAGCATAACACTTTTGAAGGGGCAAAAAAAGCTGAGAGTTAAGAGCTTGGTGTCTGTGGTGTCCGATGGCCAAGAGTGAAATCCCATGTCACTGTTTACTAGCAATGTGATCCCAGGCAAGTCACTGTATCACTCTACTCCTCAGTGACCTCATGTGTAAAGTGAGTATTATGGTGGCCCACCTTGAAAGGCTTTTTGTAAGGGATTAAATGAATAAAGGATTTAGCACAATGCCTAGTGTGTAATAAACACTTGGTAAATATTGGCTGTTGTTACTGTTAACAGTGTTGAGCCCGGTACAGTATAGATCCAGATTTACAGTATAGATCCAGTTTTACCATGTCGATCCAGGTTTACGGTATAGATCCAGGTTTACTGAGCTGAATGTTTGGCCAACGGGTGTGCTCAGATTGAAGGAGTTGTATCATTTCCATTGATAAACAATCTTTAGCTGCCATGATGGTGCTTCTCATTCATAGATTTGGCATTTGGTCTGGCTGGAAAGCTATTTTCTGGCTGTTTCATTTACCTAACCACCCTAAAACTAAGTGGCTTAAACCAACAGCATTTGATTTCTCACAAATCTGGGTAGACTGGGTGGCACTCCTGCTTAGTTAGTGTGGTTTCAGTTGGGAAAGTCCGAAATGGTGTCACTCGTGTGGGTGGCATAGGTCCTGGCTGTTGGCTAGGAGATCTGCCAGGACTATTGGCCAGGACCTCAGTTCTTTGCCAGGTGCCCTTTTCACTTGGCTAGGTCAGTCCTCTCACGGTGTAGTGGCCACAGGGGAGTTGCATCTCTTTTCTGATGGCTAGCTTCCGTCAGTCCTTTTTTACCTAATGTCTGCACAAAAAAGGAAGTAAGGGATTATCTAGGAAAAAATGACAATCTTACTTTGGACAAATATTTGAACAAATGTTAGATGTTTGAGGCTTGTGATGAAAAAGGCTTAAGAACTCTTTAGCAGACAGCTGAAGACTTGCCCCATAAGGAAGGAAACCACCATTATGGCTCTGAGTATAACCACACCTTGGGTAGGACAACTCTGAGGGCCTCCTGGGGGTTTCCTGTTTGAGCAAGGATAGGAGCTGTGGAATGCTATAACTTAGGAGTTTATAACACAATTGATCTGTACGGGAGGGCCTGCTAATTCGGGCTGCTCTCCTTCTACCCCTTCACCTCCCCATAGTAGTATTGGGAGGTATTACCATACTGTGGTTGGCAGAAAGATCGCTGAAGTCCTCTACATCCTGGCTCTCTCACACTTGTAGCTGTGTTATGTTGGGTGGACCACTCACCCCTTCTGTTCAATTCTTTGGAAAGTGGCATGAGAATGGGAGCTGCCTCATAGGACTGGTGTGAGGGTTAGATGAGACAAACAGAAAACATTCCAGTCTAGTGCTTTGTAAAGTATTCAGTGGTTTTACCATCATCATCATCTTTGCCGGATTTTTGTGTAAGAGGTTATGATTCAGTGTTAACAGGTGCTGCTCTGTGAGGTAGGTGGGATTATTCCTCTTACAGATGAGAAAACTGAGAATCAGATCCAGTAACTTATCCATTGTGGCACAGCTCATGAATGGTAGAATTCACAATCAAATATGGTGCTTCTCTTTTCTGTTCTTTTTTTTTGAGATGAAGTCTCTCTCTGTATCCCAGGCTGAAATACAGTGGAGTGATCTCAGCTCACTGCAGCTTCCACCTCCCGGGTCCTGGTTTAACCAATTCTCCTGCCTTAGCCTCCCGAGTAGCTGGGATTACAGGCACACGCCATCATGCCCAGCTAATTTTTGCATTTTTAGTAGAGACGGGAGAGAATGGCGAGGAACAAAAGAGTCAGAGTGGTGGGAGTGGAATCCACCTTGTTTCCCTTCCCATCATCGTAATGTGTTTGACTTTTGTTGCTCTGTATTTTCACCATGTTTGCCAGGCTGGTCTTGAACTCCGGACCTTGTGATCAGCCCTCCTCAGCCTCCCAAAGTTCTGGGTTTACAGGCATGAGCCACCGCATCCGGCTGACTCTTCTTTTTATCCCAGCACAGGGATCAACCTCATAAATATTCTTCACTTACGGGGTGGGAAATGGATGTCAGTTTGGGTGATACTGTGACTGTTGTCCTCCTTGGTCATTTGTGTCTGAATGATGTGATGCCCCTCTGTTTAGACAGTAGGTTCCTTGGGGCAGGTACACTGGCCAGCCTTTCTATAACCCAATGTCCTGCATGATCTAGGTGCTCAATTAATGTTCTTACTATAAATGATAATGGATTACAAGGCTTTTGTCTGATTTACTTTGTGATTCTTGATTATGTTTGGCTAATTTCAAAAGGGAGCCATAATAAATGGATGTTTATTTTTTAAATCATTCAGAGTCTTCAGGCCATCACAGCACAGAAGAGATTTAATTTCAGAGAATTGGCTTAGTGAAGCAATCTAAATTTCTTCTCTTGAGAGCAGAAAGTATGTGGGATTGTGTGGCATATTGGTATTCACATTGAATTGCATGTGGAAGGTGGAGCTGTAATTCTGTGCCTAGGCATCTACAGGCCTATGAATGTCTGGTTTTGCTTATGGCATATGGAGGCTGAAGAGGTGTTATTGTTGGTAAGGTTTGCTTGGCCAATTAGAATTTAAATATGTGTCAGTGGTGGTTGAATAAAAAATCAGGGGAGCCTATTGCAAATATAGAGACCTGAGAGACCTACCAACAAAATACAATATGTAGTCATATTTGGATATTTTTTTTTTGAGACCAAGTCTTGCTCTGTCGCCAGGCACCAGGCTGGAGTGCAGTGGTGCGATCTTGGCTCACTGCAACCTTCGCCTCCCGGGTTCAAGCAATTTTCCTGCCTCAGCCTCCTAAGTAGCTGGGGCTACAGGCACGCGCCACCACGCCCAGCTAATTTTTTGTATTTTTTTAGTAGAGACAGGGTTTCACCATGTTGGCCAGGATGGTCTTGATCTTTAACCTTGTGATCCGCCCGCCTCAGCCTCCCAAAGTGCTGGGATTACAGGAATGAACCACTGTACCCAGCTGGATCTTTAGTTGAACAAATCAACTATAAAAATACATTATTGAGACAGGGAAAATTGAGTTTGAACTGGGTATTAGATAATATTAAGAATTATTAATTTTGTTGGATGTGATAATAGTGTCATGATTTTGTTCAAAGGAAAAGGGCCTCTTCTAACAGAAACAGGCATTCATGGGTGAAATGATTTGATGTGTGAAGTCTGCTATCAAATACTGCAACAAACAGTAAACAAAAAGTCAGGAGAGGGAAAAATAAATGGCAGAATGTTGATACTTGTTGAATCTGGTTGCTGGGGACTAGTCTCTCTATTTTTGCATATGTTTGAAAATTTCCATAGTAAAAGGTTTCAAAAAATGAGATGAAAGTGTCACATATGGTCAAACATCTGCAGGAAGAGTTGGAAGGCTGGATTTCAATTCTGAAGCCACTGCAGAGTTTTGCAAGATACATTTAGCTTCAAAAGACTGACTTGTAAAATACGTTAGTGTTTGGCGGGGGCAGTGTATTTCTTTTCAAATGTTTAGCTTTCATAAGGTATCTATGAAAGAATTTGGAAGAGGATATACTTCTATTTATGAGAAAAGCTAGGTGCCAACAAATGATATCTGGACCTTTGGTGAAAACAGGATTAGTGAAGCCAATGGAATGAATATAGATAGAGTCTTGAAATCTTAATGCTAGAAGGAGCAGTGTATGTCCAAACTTGAATAATAAACATTTTCCAGAGCAAAAAGCATTCCAGGTCACCTGCCCACTTTGTTCTACATTTGTAAAAATGTTCTTCTCAAGAACAACAACCAAGTCCCCAAAGCAGAGAAACTATATTAATCTGAGTCCTAAACCAAACCATCGAACTTTTTCTCTGAATTATGATAGACACTTGAATCGAAGATTTTCAATTTTTAAAATAAATATCTCCCTGTCAACTGAAATAATTTGTACAGCAGTATTCTCATATTCGAAAAGAGAACAAAACTAAGAGATCCAACTGTTCTCTTAAAT